TTAAAGGGTGTTATATAGGAGATCATATAGGGCACTACTATAGTGGTTATTAAGGGGGATACTAGGAGTTTAGACAGTAGCTCATATGGAGATCTTATAATATTCCCCAAGCCAGATTCGACCTACTTAAGGGGGACTGCGGGTATGCGTTCAGAAGGAACCCTAGGGACAATATTGGTTCACAAGAGGGGCTATGTTGGGCACACATTCGCAAAAACCCTTGCGGGGTTCGACCTTGGGTGTACAACCCAGGAACCCTTCACGCATAATGTGGACCCCCGATTATTCAACCCCCTCCCCTTAACAGGGATTAGAATAGGGATCCTGATACTAAGGCCCTGAAAGGGAGGGGGCTTATTAACCCTAAACCCTAAGCCCTAGACCCTATAAGATGAAGGCCCTTAAAAGGAGGGGTTTTTCATTAGGGGTCTACAACAGGAGCCAGAAAGCAAAAGATGGGTTAAGTCTCGGACTGGTCTAGGGTTAAGGGGTTACGTTTTAGGCTTCTAAGGTTTGGGGGGGTAGGGTTTTAGGGTTTAGGGGTCCGATGCCGTAAGTTGAGCCAAGTAGAGAGCCATTAGGGTTTAGGGTTGAGGGTTTAGTTAAGTATAGAGTTTAGGTAAGGGCCCGAGGTACAAGGGTTTAGGGTTTAGGGTTTAGGGGTTTAGGGTTGATAAAGCATGTATATTGAGAACTAGCAACCTGTTAGATCTCCGATTAGTGGGCTGTTGAGGCATAGCCCAAACGTTGTTCATACATCCTAACATATCCCTATAGACACCTTCAATGAGCCTTAGGGCCTTACAATTTTGAGGCTTCAAATTAGGGGCGCATATGCATCAGTGGATGTACATACAGCCTCAAACCCGTGAAGCCTAAACCGCTACAACCCCAAACCCCTAAAATCCTGAACCCTGCAACGCTAAATCCCTAAAGCCCCAAATCCCTGAAAGCGCTAAATCCCCAAACACGATGCATCCCCAGAACTAAGTCCTTTAGCCCCTAGAGCCCTAAACCACCGAAAGGATTACAACTAACACCTGAAAACCCTAAATCCCTTAATCCTAAACCCTACACCTTGAATCCTAAACCCTAAGGCCTAAATCCTAAACCCTAGCCCCTAAACCCTAAAACCTAAACCCTAAACTTTAAAACCTAAACCTTCAGCCTGCAAGCCAGGAGTACGGATGGGAGCTCGGTGCCCAGCTGCTGAGGCCGCTGTTGAGAGGTGGCCTAAGGGCAACTTGACAATACCTAAGCCCCAAAAGTATGTAAGATAATAGCCCTAAACCCATAATAACAGCCATAAAGGCCATTATTTTACATACAAAATGGGGTCCAGGTAGGGTTTGGGGCTTAGGCGCTTGGGGATTTAGGGTTTAAGGTTTCGGGCTAAGGGTGTAGGGTTTAGGGTGGAGGGTGTACGGCTTAGGGCGTCGGATTTCGGGTGTGGGGTGTAGGGTTTAGGGTTTGAAGAGGCTGAACGTCAGGACTAGACCCGTAAACCCTTTGATCTAGGCTCTAAGCCTGAACCCCAAAACTTGGAAATGCAGTAAATGTCCCATTCTCAAGGTCTTAGACGTCAGCTGCGGCTTTGGCTTGAGCTCCATCGCTGCCTCCCTTGCTGGGCACAACGTGACGGCCACAGACACTCAGCAGCTTCCACTCTTCACTGGTGCTGGGGTTTAGGGTTTTAGGGGTTTTGGATTTAGGGCTTATGGTTTGGGGCTTATGGTTTCGGGTGTAGGGCGTATGTAGATTATGCTGTCCTGAACGGGTTGGTTCAAGGGAGTGAGGCTAACCTGGTAATGCCTGACACCCCTCCAATCCTCCCAAGCACTGCCCAGGTTTAGGGTTTAGGGTTTAGGGTTTAGCGTTTTAGGGTTTAGGGTTCCTACCCATGGTGGACCCACACCCATTCAGGACATGAAGGTGAAGCAGGGTTTAAGGTTCAGGGTTTTGGGGGTTACTTGGAGGCCCGTGGGACTTAGGGCTTATAACCCTACTTATAATTGGGGTAACCCCCATAAGGCCATTTAGGGGGATCATAAGTAGGGATATAAGCCCAGTTATAAGTAGTTACTAAGTCCCATGGGCTTCCAAGTAGGACTTTCAGAATGTAGGGTTTGGCATGTAGGCTTTAGGGCTTGGGATTGGCAAGGCTTTCAGGATTCAGGGTTGAGGGTCCTCACTGAGAGGGTTCGGTGAGAGTTAGCGGTACCTAAACCCCAAAAGTATGTAAAATAATTGCCCTGAACCCATAATAACAGCCATAAGGGCCATTATTTTAAATACTTTTGGGGTCCAGGTAGGTTAAGACTGGGAAGGCTCCAGTTGGTATTTTCCCTGGGCTTTCGGAGAGGGAGTGTAACCCTAAATCCTCAAGCCTAAACCACCCTAAACCTGTACGTACCAAACTAGGGCATTGGTATGGGCAACTATCGAATGCTAAATTCTAAGCTCCAAAGGGTAAACCCTCAACCCTAAACCCTAAACCCTCCTAAAACCTAACCGCTCAATCCTTTGGGCCCCAAAAATGTGAGACGTGGAAAGCCGAGGAGATGTCACGCCAACTGCTGCAGCTAGGACTGCCTTGAGTTTCGCAGTTTAGGGATTATATGAGTGGTTGTCAAACTTATGGTCCCTTTTTGAATCCCTATTATAATACGGCACCTAATATCTAGGGTACCCAAAAAGGGATCATAATTTTGACGACCAGCCATATGCACTAGGGATACTAGGAGTTTGAGACTATGGTTCATATGGGGATGGGGTTTATGTTGGGGCTGTCTCAATGATGGAATAAGAAATGGAAAGTGGATATATTGGGTTGTTATAGGGGATATACAGGGTTTAGGGTTTAGGGGTCTTACGCCAACACTGGAGAATAATCAAGCGCAAAAGAAAATGGAAAGTTGAATGGACAGTGGTGCTTATGTGGTAGTTTCCCTAAACAGTTGGGCCCCAGTAGACCACAAATTACTATAGTTCCTAGTATGGAGACCACCAGAAATGTACGCCGAATTTTGGGAAACTCCGAAACCCGGACTGGTATAACCACACACATAGCTGGACTAGTTATCTCATAGGCTAGGTTAGGGTATATAAGTATGCGTTTAGCCAGGTAAGAAGTATTTACGCATGCAAACAGACGCATTGTCGACTTCTTCTGCCGGAAAAAAAGGGACGTTGACCTGCAAATTGAGGTCACGAAGTAATTGCGTCGTTCATCTCATTTTGAGGGTTCAGGGTTGAGGGCTCGGGGGCTTAGGGCTCACTGATTTAAAGTCTACCTGCACCCCAAAAGTATGTTTCAAGAAAGCCCTTATGGCTGTCGTTATGGGTCTAGAGCTCTGAATTTACATACACCCTAAACCCTTTAAACCCTAAATCCTAAATAAACCCTTTAGACCCTAAACCCTGTTGGGGCTTAAGTAGGCCTCCCTGTGCAAGGTTTAGGGCCGTGGGCCTCGGACTTCAGTGCCGTGAGTATGTTGAAAGATTCACAGAGATTCATGCGATGAGGCTTTAGGGTTGTAGGGTTGTAGGGTTTATAGGGTTTATAGGGTTTAGGGTTTTAGGGTTTTGGGTTCTACAAATGATCTGTACAGGCCCTCCCCCCATAATCCCTTGTTTTCCTAAACGGTATCTCTGCAATCCCCAACAATCCCTTGTATGTCTAGAGTGCGCTATTTTGAGACAACCCGGGCTCATTGAATCTTTCTTCTCACCGACATCAATCCAGAAAACCCCGTGCACCCCGTAACATACGCCCATAACTTACCTCTTAAGTAGCCTTAATTGGCCCTCATCATCCTTGCATGACCCTAATTGCAGAGAACCTTGCAAGCAGTAAGGGCGGGTAGAAGCGGAAGCCGTGGCAATATAAGCCGTCTGGAACCCCATAGCACGAGCCATGCTACACTTCAATCTTTAAGTACTTCCCAGTCCAGGCAGATATCCCGAACCCCCAAATCCTGAAAATAGACCCTACACTTGAAACAAATACTCAGCCCAGGCAGGTAGCTGGCTACAACGCGCGCCGGAACAATGCCAAGCTGAGACTGCAACGATGGGAGGCGCTGGGAGGCTCGTCAGGGTTCAGGGTGTGGGTCTTGGGTTTAGGATCTAGGATTTAGGGTTTAGGGTTGATAGGGTTTAGGGTTTATAGGGTTCAGGATTCAGGGTGCTGGGCTTTGGGTCTAGGATTTAGGGTTTCATGAGGAGCTGTGTTGGGTTTCTGGGTTGGTCAATGGGATGTTGAGATATTTCCTTTTATTGGTTTCATATGGACCCTTTGGGTTCCAAAGGCCAACCAAGGTTTTGGGTTTGGGGGTTAAGGCTTGGGGTTTTCTAGGAATGAGGGTTTTGGTTTTGCAGTTTTTAGGACTTACCCTAAACCCTAAACCCTAAACCCTAGGGTTTAGGATTCAGTCGTTAGGGCTTAGGGTTTAAGAGTCAGCCTTCGGCTTCAATTAGGAGTTACCCAAACCCCAAAAGTATGTAAGATAATAACCCACACGGTTTAGGGTTTAGGGCTTAGGGTACCTAAACCCCAAAAATATGTAAAATAATTGCCCTAAACCCAAAATAACAGCCATAAAGGCCATTATTTCACATACTTTTGGGCTCCAGGTAGGGCTTTGGGTCCGGGATTTAGGTTTCAGGGCTTGAGGCTTAGGCTTTGCGATGCTTTTGGGGGGGGCTCAGTGAGATTGGATTCAGGGTTTGTGCGTTGGGGCTTCCAAGCCGTGTGTCAGCCCTAAAACATCACCGGGAACCGGAAACTCCTAAGCCCCTATGTAGACTCAAGGGTTTCCGGGTTGTACCCCTAGGGGTTGTCCCCCTTTTGGGGGATCCGTTAAAGGAACGCAACGCAACTTCATTGGTCCATATGAGGTCTATATTGGGGTCATGTAGGGGAAACCTTCTAGGGGTATGTCCTTCGAGGTACAACCCTGAACTCCTTGACAGACCCCTAAATCCTAATCCCTACTGAGGGGAAGCGAGCGCGGCGCTTGAGAAGCAAGGCAGCTGCCCGGCTTGGTTAAATTGCCTACCCACCCATAGACGGAAATGGGCGGGTCACATATTTGGTAGTCTCCAGAACTGGAGGGACCCCAATAAGATTACAATCCGTATTATAGAAACAGGCCCCCTAATGTTCGGAACATGGAAATCTCTACAATCTACCGTATAGGGCCAGTTCCCATGTCATTCTCCATTTTCTTCTTCAGTATTGGGGCATTTCTCCCAAAGGCCCCAAACCTTAATTTTCGGAAGCTGCAGGTTGTTGTTTTTGCAAATACAGATACAGCTTGTGTTGACTGCTAGTGACTGCTGGGTAGGACGGGACAGAAGCCCGAGCATGGCATGCTTGGGTTTGGATTTCAGAGGTGATGTGTTTGGGGGCATTGGAACGTTGAGGTTTTCGATATGTTTGTTGTTGCATTGCATCACGGGGTTTGTTGGCCTTCGGATGCAAGAGTTCTACGCCCCTCAGAGTTGTAAAAAGCAAGGTTTCAGGAACAGGCTTACAAGTCTGCTGTTTAGCCCTATTGTTGCAAGCCAAAGCTTACAGTTCGGATGTCCATGGGTTCTCCGAACCACCCACTCCCCCCCAGCCCTAAACCGTAAGCTTTTAGTCAAGTAGGTATGTGTGGAGAGGGAGAACCTTAAATAGAATAGAATAGGGAAGTGGCTGGGCGAACCTTATAAGTTCAGGTTTCAGGATTCAGGGTGTCATAGGCTGCATTTCAATTCACAGTGGCATCGCTCTATCCCAAGGTATCCTGTAGTTGCGCAGCGGAGTTTACAGGTGCCAGAACCCCGAAAGCCTAAATTTTGGGGCTTAGGGTTTAGGATTTGGGGTTTAGGGTAGAATCTCAGGACCATAGGGGCGGGTTAAGGGTTGAAGCTTACTTGCTTCAACAAGAGAGCAAACACCTTCAGCCTTGAGCCGTGAGCCCGAACCCCACTTCTCCCAGCGCGTGGAGCCTTCTTGCTTTAGGGAGTAGGGATTATATAGGGGTTATGTTAGGGTTATATGGGGATAATGGGAAAGCTTTGCAAACTACTATATATAGCTTATGCAGCAAAATCCCCTGTATCCGCCCACGCCGCTTGTCAATTGACATTTTACGTCTAAAGTTCGTCGTTGAATAGGTTGCCGAGCAAACTACATCTTCCAGGAGGTTGTAACCCTAAACCCTAAAACCAACGTGAACGAGCATGTGTCACCCGATGAGGTGATCAGAGCGCTCGTCCGGTGGAGTACTCCTTCGATCTATGCCTTGTCGAGACTGGGCATACAAAGCATAGAACTCCGTATAACCCTCCTAGAACCAATAGTTACCAAAATTCAGGTACCTCTACATGCACCGAATATGGTGTAGTCCCTGCTATCAAACTTCAAGGGGCCTAATGTCAAAAGCCTAAATATGCTGATGTTGAACTAGAAGCGTGGAATGTGAGCTTCAGCTGCTTAGTTTGAGGAAGTGTTGCGAACCACTTTCTAGAAACAAACATGGAAGCTGATATGGCCATGTTTTTAAAGGACACTCTTATTGGAACCTTCTTTGGGTTCAGGGTTGAGGGCTTAGGGTCTAAAACCCCAAGCCCTACACGCCTTGCAGTTTGGGTGATTGAAAAGTAGAGAGGCGCAGGTTTTTGCCGCTGAGATGCTAAGATTGTTCCCTTCGGTTTCGGGATCCGTTGGAAGAATCCCTGGAGCAACGTGGCTTCCATAGAACTTCTGGGTCGGGACGGTTTAGAGTTTGGTGGTGAGGAATGTGAAGGGATACGACGCCAGGGGTGCCAGCAAAGAATGCTTGACGAACCCATGAATTTAGGGACTTTAGGAGGGACCCCTAATAGGGACCCTTAATCCCATTACCATATACAACCCTTATATAGTCATTGTATAACTCCTATAGCCCTAGGTACTCC